AAACCATGTGTCCTGTCCCCTGGGCTTTCCTCCCTAACCCCTTCTCACTCTGATTCACTGTCCACCACGGTCTTCTCCAGACCCTGAAGAGCCTCCAAATAAACACGTTCTCCAACCACAAGCCTTGTTCTCAATGTCTTTTCTTACTTCTTGGTGTAGATGAAGAAGTTTCTAAACACTTTGTGGGAGTGGAATCTGGTGAAATTTCACAATATTTACAAATTTTAATTCAAAGTTACAAAGACATATCTCAGAAATTGTCTAAGGGAATAAATCTAGGTTCTTCACACACACACACACACACCCCATAAAACACCAGTGGAGGAACCACTCATCATATCATTATAGGTCATAGGAAGATTTCGGAAGTAGCTAAAAGCATGACAAGTGTGACTCGGTTACATAAGAAGTTACACATCAACACATGCCCCACAGGCAGTAAGGAGAAACACCACTAAGGTGGCTAGACCCTATGCTTATATGATATTAGTAAGGAGAGTGTCCAAACACAGTCCTTCTGGGCTGAGGTATGTTCCAGATCTTCAGTAACATTTCTGTCTGCTACAGTTCTGCTTCTCTAATTACGGGCACATCCCTCCAATATTCCATCTCCCACTTCTTTGTGACAGCTATGGCGGTGTTCCTAATTTCCATGTCTTATTCGTGGACCCCTGTCCTTCTCTAACACGCATAGGGTGAACCTCTCATCAGGATCACAGGGCCTTTTTCCTCCTACTTTCACATGCCCACTTTTTTCATTTCCCAAAACATATTTCTCTCAACATACAATATAATAGGGGTCATCTTTCATCTATTGTAAGCAGCTCAACAAACTCCAATTAGGATACATAGGAAGAAAAAGAGAAAAACTACACCCATACACCTCAAACCTGAACGTTGAAAACCAAAGAGAATATCTTGAAAGCAGGAAGAGAGAAACAAATCACCAAGTTCAACAGAACCACAGTAACATGAACAGCCGACTTTTCATCAGAAACAATAGGGGCCAGGAGGAGGTGGGACCCTACAGTCAAGAGGCCAAAGAAAAAGAATGTCTATTTCAAGCAACATTATTGTTGAAGATGTAGGTGAAATAAATGCTCCCAGGTAAAGAGAAACTGAGAGAATTCACTG